CTGCTGCTCAGCTCTGACGATGAGTTCTAGGTGCTGGCTGTGGTGGCGGAAGTGCTGGGCCGTAGCCACGGTCAGGCTGTGCCCCCCTCCAGCCTCACCACCAGGCCAGAAGGCAGTTGGCACAGCACTCATACCGCCCTTTATTTATTGGACCAGAAACACACATGTCACTTCCAGAGGAAATGGGGGACAGCCAGGCTCACCCACGGGCCTTCAGGAATATTTATACATGGCCTACCCTGCACTGCCCAGGCAAAGGCAGAGGACACTGGGAACAAGGCTCAGGTCCCTGCTGCTCATTCTGTGCTGGGGGCACGCTGGGACCAGCCACACCCAGGCCCCAATGCTTGTGTGTGGACCAGCAGCTGCAGCCTTCTAGCCCCTCCTTCCTGTAAGAGTCTCAGGCTGAGGTCGGCAAACCTTGGTCCCCCAACACCGTGCAATACTCTGTCTGCCCTGGGCTCTTCCCGCCTGCATCCCTTCCCATCCACCTTTCAGAGTCACTTCATCCCGGGCAGGAGCGGGATGTGGGCGCTCTGTGGTCCTCCCCTCCTGACCCAGGCCTCCCTGGCATGCTGCAAGGATCAGAGCCAGACACCAGGAGAAACAGGCCTCACCCAGGAAGGGCATTCAGGGGCTTCTGGGCACCGCTTCTATTGAAGCAGAGGCCCCTGGGTGTCCCCACTTGTCATTGCCACACCTCTGTCTGCCTCAGGCCCCTTCCCCCGGCCTACCAAGGACAGCCCACAGCCTGCACCACCGGCTCACTTAGGTCCTTGAGAGTTTTGGGCAGAGCCCTTGCTTCCTGGCTGCTCCAGAGGTCAGGGGCTCCGAGCCCTCCTTCCCAGGCTGATGCTGGGTTCTGGTCTCTCCCTGGGGCTTCTCCCTCTCGTTTCAGGGGAAAGATCTGAGTCTCCTCATTTCAGACCAGCTTCTGGAGGAAGGCAGTGCTGCAGAGAGGCCGGAAGGGGTGGCTGCACGGTGGGGAGCTGGGAGGTGGGGGGAGTGATCCCAGACTTCCCTCCAGGGCCCCCATCCACATAGGGCCTGGTGTTCTGCCCCATCTGGCCCCTGGCCCATCTCTTCTGTGCCTTAGTCACATATGAAAGCGCCCCTCCCTGGCTCCCTGTCTGTCCCACATGCTCCCTGGGGCTCCTAGTTCAGCTGTTAGCGCTCACCGGATCCTGCAGTGCTGGGCAGAACCCTCGGACAGGCCTCAAGAGTGGTCAGGACCACCAAGCCCCTCCTCTCCCCTCCAGGCCTCTAGACCTGGGGCCTCCGGAGCCGGAGCCCCCAGCAAGCTGGGCTTATACCAGCTCCTGACTTAGGAAGAGCCTCCTGTCCTGGCGTTTAAAGCCCAGATTGTCCTTGGGTTTTGGCCACAGTCGCCTCGAGAAGGGTAGGGTGAGGGAGAAGGACCCTGCCCGTGTTCACTGGGGATTCTTCTGGTCCTTCCTGGAATTAACAGGCTCCCTTCCTGCCATCTGTGAGGAGAGTCAGAGCCCGGTCGTCTTCCTGGCCTCCTTCCTTCCCTCATGGCAGAGGCTTGCAATGTGGATGCCGGCCGCCAACTCTCCCCCTCCATCTGGGGGGCCCTGACTAGTTGGCCCCAAGCTGCCCGGGAGGGTGGGTGCAGACGCAGGCTGAGGAACAGCCCAGGCCCTGCCCCACCGTCCGCTCCCACCAAGCTGTCTCTCGATGCAGCTTCCCTTCTCCCTCCAGGCCAAAGTGCTGCTGACTCCCACTCCCTTGGTCTTCGCCTGCCCCAGCGTTGCTGTCCTCATGGAGGGTGGGGTGAGGAGAGCTTGGTCCCTGGGGACATGGGGATGGGCACACGTGCCCGACCGCTCCATTCCCTCCTTCCTAGGATGCATAACCTACCTTGTCTTTTTTTTTTTAATTTTCTTTCCAGATAGAGTAGCTCTTTGTACATAAAAAATACTTGAAAAATTAATTGTATGATGTATGAGAAGACAGAGCCCCTAGTTTTGTATCTCGTTGTATGACTGCCATGAGGTCCACCAGAAAGCCACTCTATTTTGGTCTCTGTGACATTTTAAATGCGTGACAGAAGTGAGCAAATAAAGTGCGGAAGAAATATATATATATATGAGATAATATATATTGTATTGAAATCTCTGCCTGTGGGTGAGGTTCTTCCTTCCCCCTCCCTGCCCCTGTCTAGGGTTTGGGGTGGGTGGAGTGGCTTTGGCCAGGGGCAGCTTAGGAAACCCTCGCCTTCCTGTGTGTAACCTCTAAGTGATGGGGGTTTGGATTGACAGGGACCAAGGTCAAGGCCCAGGCTCCCCTTGGACAAAGGGTCTCCCCAACCCCCAGCTAGCTGCCACCCCAGGATGGCTTGGCACAGGCGGATGATGCTCCTTTCCTGTTTGATCAGTCAAGTCGATGGGGACCACACGCTGGCAGCCCCGCTCCTGCAGGCATCTCCCAGGATTTCCTGGGATTCCCCTTCCAGACGATCTTCCTGCCTCCCTGAGACTGTCCTCTGGCTGGGGAGCCTGGGGCAGGGGGCAGGGGGCCGCTGGCCGTGGGCACAGTGCCTGGCCTCTCCAATACCGGTATCGCATGCCTTCTTGGGGCCTAGCCTGCTGCTGACGGGAGCATTCAGGAATGCAGCGTGGGTGGGGGAATTCCCACCAGCCTCCAAAGGGAGGTAAATAGCCGGAGTCCTCCCGCAGCTTCCTGCTGCCCTTCCCGAAGGCCTGAGCTCAGCATTTCAGGGTCACAGGCTTGGCAGGGAAAGCACCGAGCCCCAACCTGAGAAAGGGAGAAAGCCCCATAAATAAGGCTGACACTACGTGATTTGGCCCTTTCCTGGACTCAAATCCTGCACTTTCACCCAACCAGTCCCTGACCCCGCCGGCCCCATACCCAGCCACACAGTTGGCCTCACGTAGGTCTGTGCCACTGTAAATGTGTGTTCTGAGTGTTAAAACTTGCAGCCCCACAGGCCCCCAGGGTTTTTCATGCCTATGCCCCATAGCACCTTAGTTTTACAGATGGGTAAACTGAGGCTGTAAGAAACCAAGTAAGTACCAAAGATCCCACAGCTAAGTAAAGACACCTTTGCTGGGTGCGGTGGCTCACACCTGCAATCCTGGCACTTTGGGAGGCTGAGGCAGGCAGATCATGAAGTCAGGAAATGGAGACCATCCTGGCCAACGTGGTGAAACCCCCTCTCTACTAAAATACAAACAAGCCAGGTGTGGCGGCACGAGCCTGGAGTTCCAGCTACTCGGGAGGCAGAGGCAGGGGAATCACTTGAACCTGGGAGGAGGAAGTTGCAGTGAGCTGAGATTACACCATTGCAATCCAGCCTGGTGACGGAGTAAGAGTCCGTCAGAAAGAAAAAAAGGAAGAGAGAGAGAGATAAAGACAAGACACCTGGATTAAGAAAGAAGAAAAGACCTGGATTCAAACTCCAGTTGCCGTGACCCACAGACCACGGTACACTCCACTCCTCCTTCAGGGTGCCCCAGAAGGGCTGGCAGATTGGGTTGAAATTAGCGAGTTTGAGGGCCAGGACAAGACACAGGGTTATGGTTTAGGCCTGCAGATAGGGGCTGGGAAAGCGACTCTCCTGGCTTCCCTGGGTCTTTCAAAACATGGGGAAGGTAGTTTCTACTTGCTGTAGAAAATCAGACCTCAATGTGAAAGTGCTGGAAAGATTACTCCGAAATCTGTTTTTTTCCCTCTCTGGGTGGGACTGTCTGCTCACTAAAGGGATGTCCAGGAAATTTAACCCTAAATTTCTTTCTTTTTTTTTTTTCAAAGTCTCCCTTTGTCACCCAGGCTGGAGTGCATTGGCATGATCTCAGCTCACTGCAACCTCTGCCTCCTGGGTTCAAGCAATTCTCCTGCTTCAGCCTCCCAAGTAGCTGGGACTACAGGCACGTGCCACCAGACTCGGCTGATTTTGTATTTTTAATAGAGATGGGGTTTCACCCTGTTAGCCAGGCTGGTCTTGAACTCCTGACCTCAGGTGATCCACCCACTTCGGCCTCCCAAAGTGCGGGGATTACAGGTGTGAGCCACTGTGCCCGGCAAACTTTTCTTTTGAGACAGGGACTCTGTCAGCTGGCTTGTGCAGTGGTGTAGTCATAGCCTTGGACTCCTGGGCTCAGTTACACCAACATACCTGGCTAATTGTTTTCTTATTTTGTTTTAGAGATGGAGTGTTGCTCTCTTGCCCAGACTGGAGTTTAGTGGGGTGATCTTGGCTTACTGCCTCCCGAGTAGAGGTTGCTCTGCCTCCCAGGTTCAAGCAATCCTCCTGCCTCAGCCTCCTGAGTAGCTAGGACTACAGACATGTGCCACCATATCCAGCTAATTTTTTTGTATTTTTAGTAGAGGCAGGGTTTCACCATGTTGATCAGGCTGCTCTCGAACTCCTGACCTCAAATGATCCACCTGCCTCGGCCTCCCAAAGTGCTGGGTTTACAGGTGTGAGCCATCTCGCCTAGCCTGTTTTCTTATTTTTTAATTTTTTGTAGAGATGGGGGTCTTGCTATGTTGCCCAGGCTGGTCTCAAGTGATCCTCCCATCTCAGCTTCTCCAGTAGCTGGAACAACAGACACGTGTACCACCACACATGGCTAATTATGTTTTTGGAGAGATGGGGTCTTACTCTCTTGCCCAGGTTGGACCTGGACTCCTGGTCTCAAATGATCCTCTTGCTTCGGTCTCCCAAAGTGCTGGACTACAGGTGTGAGCCACCATGCTCAGCCAGAATCTAGCCCTAAATTTCTTCACGCTCATGGCTGTGTCGTCCCTAGGAGCTCCTGGGCTCTAAGCAACCAAAAGCAATCATCGAAGTGTCGGCGCCACTGGTCTCTGTTGCCATCTCCACCCCACCTCATGCCCTGTGCAACAGCTGGAGATGGGCACTGGCCTCCCCACCACCAGAGGCCCCAAGGGGTTGAAAGCAGAACCCCATCTTAGACACCTCTCCCCAACAAAACATAGCCCAGGACACACACTTATTCTCTGTGGAAGAGGAATTTGACTTTATTTAGAAAGTCTACAAAATACAGAAGGCGATAACTCGCTTGCTGTAAGTCAGGAAATAAATAAATTCTAGGAGCCGGGCAATTTTTCTTAACTTTTTTTTTTTTTTCAAGACAGGGTTTTGCTGTGTCGCCCAGGCCAGAGTGCAGTGGTGCAATCTTAGCTCACTATTACCTCTGCCTTCTTAAGCGATCCTCCTGCCTCAGCCTCCCAAGTAGCTGGGACTACAGGTGTGAGCCACCACGCCTGGCTAATTTTTGTACTTTTTTGTAGAGGCAGGGTTTCACCATGTTGTTCAGGCTGGTCTCAAACTCCTGGACTCAAGCGATCCACCCTCCTTGGCCTCCCAAGGTGCTGGGATTACAGGCATGAACCACCGAGCCCGGCTTAAACATTTTTTTTTGCTGCTATCCGGCCTTCCCTAAATATAAGATAAAATGTGATTTATTGCAGATATAAAATATAAAGTCCAGCTCATATGCCACTTTTCCCAGGGAGCAGGAGCTCAGGCTCTGGCTGGGGAGAATAACTTAGATCCGTGCAATAAATAAACAGTGGGGAGGGGCAGTGTGGACAGTGTGGGGGGAGGGACTAAGGCTGGGATTCCCAGGAGAGTGACAAAGGCAGGGGTCAGCCCCCACCCCACAGGGGGCACTGATGGGTCGAGCTGGGACCCTTCTTCTAAGGACCCCCCTCCAGGCTGTAGTCGGACTGCAGGGTCTGCCTTCTTGCCTCTCCACTTGCCACAGCAGTCCATGGCTCCTTTACTCTGTCTGGCCAGCCCCAGGACATCCTGGCTGCAGGGGCGCCTCGGGCTGAGCCAGGCCAGCTCCTTCCCACTCTTCCATCCCTGTCACCTTCTCTCTCCCTCTGCTTCTCTCCCCCTGTCTTGCAGAGAGAGGTCTCCCAGACCAGGGAGGCCCTCCCACCACCTTTCTGAGTCCCTGTACTCTGTCACCCTGAAAACCATGGCTGGAATCTTAGGGCAGCAGTAAGGAAACCCAGGTTTTGGTCCCGGCACAATCACTAAGTGATATATGACCTCGGGCCATCTGCGAACTGGGTTTCACTAGCCTTCCTACCCACTCTTTTAGTTTTGGAAGGCCAGGCCCAAAGCAGAGGTGGGGGCATCTCTTCAGTGCAATTTCTCACCAGGACGGCCCTGCAAGTCACAGACAGCCAAATCTAGCTCGGAATCCTGGGAGGGTTTGGAGGGCATATTGGCACAACCAGAGCAGTTTCCAAGATAAGGGGTGCCCTTTTCTCCCCCAACAGCTGTTCTCTAAGCCGGCTCCGTATCAATCTAAAAAGGCTAAACTTTCAGCCAAGGGCGATCCCAGATCCCGAGCTCTGCCCCATCCCCAACCTACCAAAGTTCCCCTTCCCAGGGCCATTCGGTCCCAGTTTTGGGGGCTGTAAGAGGAAGCCAGGGCCCAGGGAGGGAATGTGTGTGCACCAAGGGGCCGGTGCTACAGAGAAATGGGACCTGGGCACAGAACCGGCGCTCAGGCACTTTGGGGAGGGAGCTGGGGCGGGAGGGGCGTGGCTGGGGGATGGAGGGGGCGGGCACTAGGAGCAGGAGGCCGGGCCGGGAACGGGGTCCGGACCGGGGGCGGGGCCAGACCCCGATCCCGGGTTGGACTTAACAATAGTGATGACGCTGGCCGGCGCCACGAGCGTGGCGGTCCCGCGGGCAGCGGCCACGGAGCGTGCGAAGCCCTGCAGCGCCTCGCACTTGCCACGCAGCGCGTCGAGCTCCAGGCGCATGGCGGCATTCTCTCGTGCCAGCTTGTCCACCTCGCGCTCCAGCTCTGACTTCTGCTTCTGCAGCTCCTCTTTCTGGCACACGCGCTTCACGCGGCAGCTGGCGGCGTAGCCGCGGTTTTTGAGTGTGCGGCGCCGCTGCTTGAGCCGTGTCACCTCCTCGGCCGAGAGCCCGCGCAGGTGCCGGTTCAGCTCGCGCACCGACAGCCCCATCAGTGCCTCGTCCGACAGGTGCGGCGTGTTCTCGCTCAGCTCGCGCTTGATCTGCAGGTAAAGGGAAACTGAGGCCCAGGGACTGGGGACGGCCCCCCCCCCCCCCCCGCCGCTCCACCTCCAGTGTTCCTCCTTAAGCGCCTTAGCTGCTGAGGTGGCGGCTGGACTTGATCCCAAACCCCAAAGGGTAGCAGGAATCAGGGAAGGGAAAACCGGGCCAAACGAGGATAGGAAAACACAAAAGGAGGCCATCCTGGGGCTCAGCCTGGATTCTAACCTAGCGCCAAGCCCTGGACTCAGCCAGAGAAACCCAGCCCGGAAACCACCTTTGAATGCCCCCGGGGGACATTGACAAGATGCAGAGGGAGGACAGGAGAGGGAAGTGACCTATCCCAGGGACAGGCAGCCTGTGACGAGAGCCCAGGCCTCCTCGTCCCAATCCATGGCTGTGGCCCCCACTTTGGCATCATGAAGGCTCGAAGCCTGCTGAGCCACCCAGGGGGTTCCAGGAAAGAAGGGGAAGCTGGGATGAGGAGCTCTGCAGGGGCAGGGATTGACAGAGGCTGCCTCCTCACCTTCAGAGCTTTGCTGGATAAGGGATCCACAGACATGTTTGCAGGAGGTGCCCTCTGGGCTGCAGACCTAGAGTAGAAAGGAGGCAAAAGTCGCTTTGTTTTGTTTTTGTTTTCCCATTTAGAATAAAATCCAAACTCACTACGTTGGTATTCAAGGCCCCTGCTCTCTTAGAACGGATTCATACCTACCACCTTCCTCTCTCCACACTGGTCCAGCCACAGTGGCCTCCTTAAGGCCCATTCCAGCCTCCGGACTTGTGCACATGATGTTCTCTTTGCTGTTCTATCTCCCCATAGTGACTCCTCATTATTTAGGCCTTTGCCCAATGTCACCTCCTCGAGAGGTCTTCTTCTTCTTCTTTCTTTTTTGAGACAGAGTCTTACTCTGTTGCCCAGGCTGGAGTGCAATGGCGCAATCTTGGCTCACCACAACTCCGCCTCTTGGGTTCAAGGGATTCACCTGCCTCAGCCTCCCGAGTAGCTGGGATTATAGGCGGATGCCACGACGTCCAGCTAATTTTTGTATTTCTAGTAGAGACAGAGTTTCTCCATGTTGGTCAGGCTGGTCTCGAACTCCCGACCTCAGGTGATCCTCCCGCCTCAGCCTCCCAAAGTGCTTGGATTACAGGCGTGAGCCACCGCACCTGGCCTGCGGTCTTCTTTGACCATTATGGCTAAACGTTTCTTTGTGCACATCAGATCACCCCATCTGTGAACCCTTGTAACAGTCGCTTCTCATTTCTCAGGCTCACTTCCTCAGCTATAATTGGTTTCTCCTTTCCACCCCTCCTCCCCCAAAACAGAAACCCACGAAGGCAGAGGCCTTGCCTGTCTCTCCATGACATCAATATGCCTAAACGAGTGCCTGGCATATAACAGATGACCCAATGAGTGTGCACCAAATGGACAGACACTCCTCTCCTGGTCATTCTTCCACATGGAGCGCGGACATGTGCATTTGGTTTGATTTTTCACAACTTTTTTTTTTTGAGACAGAGTCTCACTCTGTTGCCCAGGCTGGAGCGCAGTGGCTCAATCTCGGCTCGCCACAACCTCTGCCTCCTGGGTTCAAGCGGTTCTCCTGCTTCAGCCTCCTGAATAGCTAGGATTACAGGCTCGTGCCACCACACCTGGCTAATTTTTTGTACTTATAGTAGAGGAGGGGTTTTGCCATATTGCCCAGGCTGGTCTCAATCTCCTGACCTTGTGATCTGCCCGCCTCAGCCTCCCAAAGTGCTGGGACCACAGGCATGAGCCAACACTCCCATCCTGATTTTTCAGAAGTTTTCTTAAAGTATAACCTACATACAGAAAAGTACACACAGCATATGTGCACCATTAATGCCTTTTCACAAAGTCCATCGGACACCCCATCAGTTACATCAGCCAGTCCCCCCTTCCCCAGGCCTCTTTCACCTAGACCTGTGTTTTGGGAAAGCTTCCCCAACTACCTGGGGGCTGCCCAGCACTAACTCAGCATGCCGTAGGCAGATGGGGCAGCCAGCCCTAGACCAGTGAGGGCCTCTTACCTCCTAATCCCTCCTACAGGCCTGACAAGTCACATGCTTCTTCAACAACTATTTATTGAGCAGCTGCTCTTTGCCAAACATGTACTTGGCAATGGGGAGACAAAGGTGAATAAAACTTGTGGAGGGTACATTCTAGGGGTCAGCGGTCATCGCTCTGGGCTGGAGAAGGGGACCATCTCCCAAAGGTCACTTTACAGCAGCAGTTCTCTCTGTCCCTACCTGATCAGATCTGTTCCGCCATTCCTTGTGAACCTGAGTTTTCTCCTCTGACAGTCTCCAAGGTGATGGGGCAGTGATAAGAAGCCAAGGAAAGCTAAGGAAGATAGTCCGGGCGTGGTGGCTCACGCCTGTAATCCCAGTACCTTGGGAAGCTGAGGCAGGCGGATCACCTGAGGCCAGGAGTTCAAGACCAGCCTGGCCAACATGGTGAAACCCTGTCTCTACCAAAATACAAAATTAGCCAGGCATGGTGGTGCACGCCTGTAGTCCCAGCTATTTAAGAGCCTGAGGCAGGACAATTGCTTGAACCCGGGAGGTGGAGCTTGCAGTGAGCTGAGATCGCACTATTGCACTCCAGCCTGGGAGCCTGGGTGACAGAAGTTGAGACTCGATCTCAAAAAAAAAAAAAAAGTAAAAAGAAAACAAAGGAAGATGCGTTTCGACCTGAGCTGCAGCATCCTGTAAACACGTGCCATATCAGAATGAGTGTTATCCAGTTTGGTGGACAGCAGGGGGCAAAAGCCAGGGTCTAGGTCCTGGTTCCTTGAGCTGTTTGCAGGGCCGACCTCACAGGTCAGCTCAGCCCCTGACACATTCTGGCAGGACTGGGGTGTGTCTTGGGGACAATGTGGAGAAATGGAAAGTACATGGACCTTGGTGCCGGAAACACCTGGGGCCTTTTGGGGGTGGTCTCACTCACTAGTTGTGGGGTTCTGGTAGGTCAGTGAAGCTTTCTGTGCCTCACTTTCCCCCTGGGTGACACAGGGCAGCTGTGCTAAGTCGGCTCACATCATGGCTCTCTTAGGACCCTCCCACAGCTCACTGGAGTAAAGCCAGAATCGTCACCATGGCCCACAAAGTGCTGCAAAAAGTGCCCCCAGCATCCCCTCTCTGACCTCAGCCCTGCTTGGCTCCCCTGTGCTCCCCCTTCCCCAGCCACACCCACCATTCCTCAGTGCACAGGGTGCACACTTCTCTCCAGTGTCTCATTCAGTTGCAGGCTGGAGTACAGTGGCATGATCACAGCTCACTGCAGCCTCAACCTCCCAGACTCAAGTAATCCTCGTACTTCAGCCTCCCTAGTAGCTGGAACTACAGGTGCATGCCACCATGCCTGGACAGTTTTTGTATTTTTTTGTACAGACAGAGTTTCATCATGTTGCCCAGGCTGGTCTTGAACTCCTGCGCTCAAGCGATCTACCCGCTTCTGCCTCCCAAAGTGTTGGGATTATAGGCGTGAGCCACCGTTCCTGGCCTCTGCTGGGATCTCATGTTCACTCAATTTAGAATTCACAACCTCTGATACACACACAGACACACACAGAGACACACAGACACACACACACACACAGAGACGCACAGACACACACACACAGAGACGCACAGACACACACACAGACACAGACACACACACACAGACACACACAGAGACACAGACAGACACACACAGAGACACACACACACAGAGACACAGACACACACAGAGATACAGACACACAGACACAGACAGACACAGAGACACACAGAGACACACATACAGACACACACAGACACACACAGACACAGACACACACACAGATACACACACAGACACACACACACAGAGACACATACAGACACACACAGACACACATAGACACACATACAGACACACAGATACACAGACACACACAGACACAGACACACAGACACACATACAGACACACAGAGATACACATACAGACACACAGACACACACAGACACACAGACACAGACACACACAGACACACATACAGACACACACAGACACGCATACAGACACAGACACACAGAGACACACATACAGACACACACACAGAGACACACACAGACACACACGCACTCTCTCTCTCTCACCCCATGTCCCTTCCCTGCCTCTGGTTTCCCCATGTGTAATTATCATCACTCCCATATATGGAGGGTGTCACATATATGGTTCAGTGTCTGTCCCTCCCAGCCTCCTGATTAGAATGCCAACTCCTGGCCAGATGCGGTGGCTCATGCCTGTAATCTCAACACTTTAAGAGGCCAAGGTGGGTGGATCACGAGCTCAGGAGTTCAAGACCAACCTGGCCAAGATGGTAAAACCCCATCTCTATTAAAAATACAAAAATTGCCAAGCATGGTGGCTCACGCCTGTAATTCCAGCACTTTGGGAGGCCGAGGGGGGGTATCACAAGGTCAAGAGATCGAGACCATCCTGGTCAACATGGTGAAACCCCGTCTTTACTAAAAATACAAAAAATTAGCTGGGCACGGTGGCGCGTGCCTGTAATCCCAGCTACTCAGGAGGCTGAGGCAGGAGAATTGCCTGAACGCAGGAGGCGGAGGTTGCGGTGAGCCGAGATCACGCCATTGCACTCCAGCCTGGGTAACAAGAGCGAAACTCCATCTCAAAACAAAAAAAAATTAGCCGGGCATGGTGGCGGGCGCCTGTAATCCCAGCTATTTGTGAGGTGAGGCAGGAAATTGTTTGAACCCGGGAGGAGGCTGCAGTGAGCTGCGATCGTGCCACTGCATGCCAGCCTGGGTGACAGAGCAAGACTCTATCTCAAAAAAAAAAAAAAAAAAAGATGGCAGCTCCAGTTCCATGAGGGCAGGGCTTGTACCTCATTCACCCACCATGGCCTCCCCAGTGCCTAGAACAGCGCCTGGCACCTCGCAGATGCTCAAGGAATCCTTGCTGAGCTCTCAGTGTGACTCAGGCTGAGGTGGGGACAGTCCAGGGCTTCTCAGGAAACTCCCCGGCCCCTCCCAGCCCACACAGTCAGGGGGTCTAGCAGCTCAAAAGAAAGGAAGGAGTGGGACAGGAGGAGGAAGTTAGGGCTTGCAGTGATCCCCTGAGAAGAGCAGCCACCAGGGCTGTTAAGCAGGGGAGTCTCAGAAGTCACCCAGGCTTCTCTGGGGGTAGCTGGGTGGACCCAGATTGCCAAGTCAGCACCCAGGCAGCTCTAGACCCTTGTGTGAATCTTCGGTGAAGATGGGGAGAAGGCCCCCCTCATGGAGTGAGCCGTGAGCTGTAACCCCCACTGCCGAACATGCCGGCTTAGCCTGGGCTCTGGCCACAGTTTCCCTGTCCAGCCCTCCAGATCCTAGGAGGCTCAGGCCCTGGCTGCCCACCTGGCTCTTCTTGGGGGCCTCTGTGCACTCCCATCCTACCTGGAAAAGTCCTGAGATCTGCTACCTATCCTGACCTTTCAGACGCTACCTGGAGACGTTTACAGGCCAGCCTCACTGATCCTGCCCTTCAATGCAGGCTGCTGCTTCTTCTTCTTTTTTTTGAGATGGAGTCTCGCTCTGTCACCCAGGCTGGAATGCAGTGGCACAATCTTGGGTCACTGCAACCTCCAACTCCCAGGTTCAAGTGATTCTCCTGCCTTAGCCGCCTGAGTAGCTGGGACCACAGGCGCCCACCACCATGTCCGGCTAATTTTTGTATTTTTACTAGAGACGAGGTTTCACTATATTGGTCAGGCTGATCTCAAACTCCTAACCTCAGGTGACCCACCCACCTCGGCCTCTCAAAGTGCTGGGATTACAGGTGTGAGCCATTGCTCCTGACCCAATACAGGCCCCTTAAATGGTCACCCTCACCACCCTACCTACACCTGGGGAGGCCCCAGCACACCTCCCTGCTGCTTCAGCTCGTCCCCACACAGCAGCTGGACAATCTTTGCACCATGTGAATTTGACCATGCCATCAACCAGATTAAAACCTTCCATGGTGGCCAGGCGCAGTGGCTCACACCTGTAATCCCAGCACGTCGGGAGGCCGAAGCAGGCAGATCACAAAGTCAGGAGATTGAGACCATCCTGGCTAACACGGTGAAACTGTCTCTACTAAAAATACAAAAAAAATTAGCCGGGTGTGGTAGCACACACTTGTAGTCCCAGCTACAGGTGCTAGGAGGCTGAGGCAGGAGAATCACTTGAACCTTGGAGGCGGCGGTTGCAGTGAGCCGAGACCACGCCACTGCCCTACAGCCTGGGCAACAGAGCGAGACTCTGCCTCAAAAACAAACAAACAAACAACACCTTCCATGGTTTCCTACTATCCTGAGGTCAGAGTCCAGACCCACCCTCATGGTCCTCCAGGCCCTGTGTGTCCAGCCCCAGGCTCATTTCCCACCACTGCCGCCTCCCCTATGTGCTCCAGCCATGCAGAATTTCTTTCACTTCCTCCCACCCGCGCTTTCTTGCTTCTGAGCCACCTCCCACCCCGTGACATTTCTCTCCCCTCACTCCCCTCTACTTTGTCTGGCAGACTCCTACTCATCCTTCTGCCCTGGGTGTAGACCTCTCCTCCTCCAGGAAGCCCTCTCTGACCCCTAGGACCTGTTAGGCACCGCCCACCCCTGTGTGTAATGGGTTGTATGTCCTTGCTGTTTCTCCACCAACAGGGAGGGACTGAGTCAGCTCTGGGTGCTTGAGGCCACCCAGCACTAGGCATGGCAGGAGCAGGCACTGGGGAGGGATGGATGGGTGGAGTCTCTGATGCTGTCACCCAGCTTGTCAGTGTCCAAACCAAGTTCCAGGCCGAAGTGTAGTTCAGAGACTCCTGGCCCTGTCAGGGCAGGGTTTGGGAAACAGGTAAAGGTGCGCTGGATTGGGAGTCAAGCTTGGGTTTAAGTCCCATCTCTGTTTTCTCAGGCTGTGTGACCTGGGGTGAACCACTCTACCTCTTTGGGTCTCCCCTTTCCCATCTGTAGGATCAGTACAATACCTGCCTTGCAGGGTTTTCGTGGAATCAAGTGGTATAAACCGTAGAGGTCAGTGAGCACCTGGGAGGTTAGAATTGCTGTCTGTCCAGGAGGGGCAGGCCTGTAGCAAGCACTGGGGTCTTGCTCTGATTCAGCATCTCCCAGCCAGCAGGGGCACCCAGGGAACTGCAGGAAAGGCTCTTAGAGGCCATCAGGTCCTGCCTCCTCACTTCACCCAAGGGAGGTGGAGACCCAGAGAGGGGGCATCACTTGCCCGAAGTCACACAACAGGTGTGAATGAATATCTGCAAAGGCACAGGACTGAAACCTGGTCCCTCCACACCATCACCTCCCTGATGGGGCTCACCTATAGTCCCAGCTACTTGGGAAGCTGAGTCAGGAGAATCTTTTGAACCTGGGAGGCGGAGGTTTCAGTGAGCTGAGAACAAGCCACTACACTCCAGCCTGGGTGACAGAGCGAGACTCCAGCTCAAAAAAAAAGGCTGTAATCCCAGCACTTTGGGAGGCCGAGGCGGTTGATCACGAGGTCAGGAGTTCAAGACCAGCCTGGTCAACATGGTGAAACCCCGTCTCTACTAAAAATACAAAAATTAGTTGGGTGCGGTGGCAGGTGCCTGTAATCCCAGCTACTCGAAAGGCTGAGGCAGAGAATTTCTTGAACCCAGGAGGCATGGGTTGTAGTGAGCTGAGATAGTGCCACTGCACTCTAACCTGGGAGACAGAGTGAGACTCCATCTCAAAAAAAAAAAGAAGAGACTTAGGCAAGAAAGATTACCTTATCTCGCCATCATGCCACCATCCACAAGCAGCAGAGACATTGCTACCCACCAAAGTGCTGGTTCCCAGTGAGGCCGGGCACAGCCCCTGAGTCTTCCTCAGTGCAGCACTGCTTTCCCCTGAACTTAGACACAGCCTCGGACTCCTCAACACTGCCTCCAGAGCAGGCCCAAGAGATGGAACCGTCAGCCATTCCCTACTCTTGATGACAGCGGCAGCTGGCTGTGATCCTACGTACCCTCAGGCATTAAGGAGGTTTTGAACCTGCTCTTCCCCCACTCCTCCATGCTCTCCTGTCCCAGCCTCAGCCCCCTCAACCGCATCCTGGATGTCAGCCGAGGCACCCACGTTTGCCCAGGAATGTCCTAGCTCAGCAA